TTCAGTCGTAACAACGTGAGTGAGGAAATTCGAGTAGTTCAGTTCTTTCGGATCAGAGTGTGAGCACCCTAATCGAACTATCTTTGGAAGATGCATGCCATACGTGTCAGCGAAACGTTATGACCAAATTCCTAAAAACGAGGTTTTTCAACAAACGACACAAATGATCCTAAATGATACTGATGCATGCATTAGTAAAACGTTACTCAGAAAAAATGTTGATGACWTTTTTTYMAGATGTRAAAATTCCAGTTTCGGGTCTCGTAAAGCTTTAATAAATGACTTATAACTCATTAACCGATGAGTTATAACTCGTTTACTYAGAGAGCGGCAACMACTGAATAGCGCAAYTCAACACAGTGTTACYCAGGCCTAGGTGGCGCAGTTTGCAAATTTTCGAAAATTTGCGAAAACTTCCATCTGTTTGCACTTTTTCTTAAGCACATTTTTTAGGTGTTTAAGTTAGTTTCGGTTTTGTTATGTGAAATTTAAACTTCAATGAGCGAAAATGGTCAAAACCCGTAATTCCCCAAGAAACAGCACCAAGATCATTTTTAGAATAGACATTTTCTACAAGATCAGCTAGAGAGATGCAAGCTAGAAAAGTATCCGCGTCCCTTCTTGATTGAGGATCTTCCATCTGTGAGTTTATCGATCGAATGAAAAGCCTTAGAAACGCAATCACAATTGATAGGACAAATGACATACACGGTATAAAAAGGTCTCAAGGCTTCAGATCGGGAGATCGGGCGGGCCAATTTTGCGCATCAGTTCCTTCAATCGACTTATTTCAGAACAGAGGTTTGCGCCAATGGTTCATGTTGCCGTATTGAACAGATCGAAACTGCCGACTTTTCACTTAAGGCTTTTGGACGGTAAAACCAGGCATTGCAAGCTGTTATGAATCGTCTTCTTCTGCGATTACGACGCACTTTGTTTAGATAGGTTAGAAGGATCAAAGGCTGGTGGTCAAAAGGGTTTTGGACTCAGGCTTAGACATCGCTTACATTGCGGTCTACATGGACATATGTTAAGCACTGTATGTTATTGATCCAAAATGACCGTACTTTTTCCAAATATTCTCGACATTTCACGGAGGTCCGTCGTGTTAGTGTCGTTTAACAGACGTCCATAATTAGTTTGTTGCGTAATTAGCGCGCTAAACGCAATAATTTCCGATCGACGCACAAATTGAAGTGTAGTTGGGTCGGCAAGGCCGTGTAAATGGTGGAAAAATGAACGAGACAATGGCATGAAGAGGAAGTGAAAAGTGAAAACTAACCGGCACAGGACACTTGTTGCCACCTTCGAGGGACATCCCACCCGGCCCCGCGCCGCTCTGCGTCCCATCCTCCGGATCCACGAAATTCTCCGGCCTTGGCAAAGGCCACGTGTTGGAACGAGCCCGCGTTTGCGGCTCGAACCCATCCACTTCGGCCAACGGCTCCATGATGTTGAGGTTCATTTTGGCCAGCGGACTGTACCCCGAGTACGGGCCGTTCATAAATTTGAATTGTTTAGCGCGCCGCTACTCGTCACAAATGTTCGAAGATGGTGCGTTTTGATGCGACGACGTCCGGACACTTTTGCCACCACTAATTTGAACAGGCCGTCGTCATTGCTGCGTGCAGAGCACTCCCGATACCGAAATAAATCGGGGGTAAATTCCAAAGTCCACAGCGGATCCGGGCGCACAACGCAAATAAATTCGTGGACAGCTCCGGACACTTGTTCAGCTGGAGCCGAAGTTCTTCGGCCACGCGGCACGACGTCCTTTAGGAGGCCATACTGGTCAACTTGATTGAAAATACGCGTTCTCCTTGTGATGACGCAGTGCTTGAAACACGCGCGACGAAAATTCGCTTACGCTCGAACAGTCTTCCAGGGCGAACGAGCATCCGCAACGCTCGCAAACCGAATGCTGAGCTACGCAGACGACGTTCACGGTTAACGCGTTGGCGGCGGTCGCCCACTTGGGCGCAAGTCCGCGATTTGGCGCCACGGAGGCACCGCCGACGTCACCAAAAGCCGCGCTGACCAGCCGAAGGACCAGCAGCGGGTTGGTTGTTGCGTAATTTCCCATTAGCTCCGCTGCCGAAGACGCATCGGCTGCTCGCCTACGGCCAGTCGCTGCACAGCGGCGTCCAAAGCGTCGATAGTCATATACAGGGCGATTCCAAAGGCGTGCCACTCCGCCGGGGGTGAAAATTTCCAGTATATCAAGAACTCGCTTTTGGAGTTGTCGATGTGCTGCGCCTCATAGAGAATCTTTTTGAAGTGATCCCACTCAGAAGCGGCTAATTGTAGCCCCCTTGGAATACAACGTTGCCAGTATCTAATGTTATGTCAGGAATCGCGTCAAGTGTCAAATCTTAAAAAGGTGAGGTTAGAACGGTTAAAAGTGGGAAGTGAAGTGGTTTGGTTTATGTCTAACCACGTTTTGACTTGAATGTGTCGAAGTAGTATCAGTGTCGTAATAACGTGCAAATAATAACTTTTATAAATAATATAAAGGTAATAAAATAAAAATGTAATGATAAAGGTAATGCGACCGTCATCATGGATTATAATATCTATGATCAAAAAATTAATGAACTTTTGAATGACAAAAGTTATTCAAAATTAAACAAAAATCCAACAGAACGTTTTGAAAGACAAAGTTGTAACACTTAAAAAAAATTTAAACATGAATTCACAGATTACGTTAGATCAAAATTAACACCACACAATAGTAAAACACCACATTTTTACGGAGTTCCAAAAATTCATAAAGTTAATATTCCTTTACGACCAATAGTTAGTAGTATAAATTCACCTACACATCTCTTAGCCAAATATCTTTTAAACATTTTAAATCCCCAAACAAATAACACAACTTCCTATATTAAAAATTCTGAACATTTTTTACAAAAATTATCAGACATAGACATAAATCCAAACCATATTCTAGTAAGTTTTGATGTTGTTAGTCTATTCACTAACGTTCCTGTTGATAAAACTTTAAATATCATCAAACAAAAATTACAAAATGACACCAAT